TTTACTGCTGCCGCTTGCTCGAAAACGAAAAACGATTACACTGATGACTATTAATAACAACAAAAAAATCACCGTCAATTCAATAAAAATACAAAAAAAAATAATAATTATTGCAAACACTGAAATATATTGCAAAAAATTTGACATGCAACAACATGCCACCACATGTACATACATGCATACGTAAAATATTTACGCAATTGAACAAATAAATAAATGTTGAACGCAATTTGATTGATTACCGTAAAACTTAACAATGCACGCACTCAATGAATGTCCATTAAATGAACTTCTCAAAATTCGTAGTAGCAAACACAAGAACAACAGCAACACCAATGCCGATAGACAGTATTACAACCACAAAACCCCAACCGACCACGTCAAAGCCAACAACCACAAGGCAAATGCCATGCACAGCGCCTACAGTGTGGGCAACAAAGCCGTCTGCGACACGCGCACCCAGGACGCGCACGACAACGCCAACTCCCTATGTAGCAACAACAACAACTACAACCAGCGGCGTCGCTTGGTCTGTGCCAACACATTTGACAACCACCTGCTCACAGACGCCGGCAATGAAAACGACTACAAAATCAAAAGAAATTGTCAGCGAAGCTACAACGAAACAGGCCTTAGCACCAGCACCAACACCACCTACCACAAGCAGTTCATTAACGGGCACCAAGCCAAAAATACCGCTAGCAACTTCGCTAGCGGCCACAAGCGGAAACGAGTACGTTTTGCCGCCTAAGAGTGCTGTCGAAAAAGATGTGGAAGCAGTAGACACACATAGATCACGCTCACCAGCACCAAAGCTATCACAGATGCGTCGTCGCCACGGCTACGGAAGTGACGAGGATATCCTAGCGAATATTACGAAAAGTAACGAGCGACTCGAACGCGAACTAGCCAAAATGCCACCACTTCCTACGTTGCCACTGTCGGTGCATCGACGCCAGCAACGTTGTGGGCATTTGCATCGCACACCATCGGCTTTTCTGCGACGCAGCGCCAGCGATGAAGGTGGTGGTCGCGGCGCGACCAAGACGACGAACGCCGCCGAATGGCGTGAACTCTCCGGCACTCATGGTAGTTGTAGTACAGACATGAAACACTTAGCAAGTTGTACACATTTTGAGCCGATAGCGTGCACATGTTGTTGTAGTGCAAACAATGGGGAAAGCAATATTAGTAGAGCGCCCACAGGGAAGCAAACACAATGCACCGATAGTAAATATTTCTCTGACACTGCGTACACGTTGGGCGCGAACACTGGCACAAATGTAGACACAACAACGACCACAAAAACCAGCACAGCTGTCACAGCTGTCACAACAAAAAAAGCAGCAGTAGCACATAGTTTTAGTAGCAGTTGTCACAACTATACATGGGATGCGCACGCCGTTGCCACAGTCACTACACCCACAGCAACTTGTGAAACACACAGTAGGTTAAAAGGACAGGCGGCAAGTGGCACGCTGACAGCGCAAACGAGCTCTATCGCAGATGCGTCCCTGTGTGGTAGTCATCCTACGACTTCCGTTACATACTCCACACCTGCGAGGGAAGCGCTCTACACAACAGCTATACCATCGCCACATTGCGGCAGTCATTTCATGCATTACGATAAAGCGACTGCCGCACCGAAGCTCTGCACGTCCTGTAATCCGCTTGCTCCCGCCGCAGCCTGTTCTTCAACGACATTGCAACCATCGGCTTGCTATCCGCATGTACACTGCAAAACAGAGCCGTTGCCTTGGCTGCAACAGCATCTAGTTTTGAATCAAACTTTTAGTGGACTCGAACGCCAGTCCGTAGATTACTGCCATGCATGTCAGAGCCCAAGTCAAGGCGAGCACTTGACGGCGCCAACTGAAAGCAAGGCAAAAATGCCAGAAGCAAGCAAATCAGCGACTAAGTCAACCGCGAGTCGAGAGGAAGCAGCTACGCGCCTAACGCAACCGAGTTACAAACCACGTACCTATTTTGAAGAGCTACTGCGCCGCGATGAATGCTGTGCGGTTAAGAGGGTGGGTGGTAGCGCGTCACGCGAGTGCGTAACACCACACGAATGTGTAGTGGCAAAGAAAAAGCCACGACCACCTGTCAAAGTGGACGTAAATGTGCGACTGGTGCCCAAGCCGGGTAGAGAGCATAAGGAGAGAGTAGAAAAAGACACAGCAGCGCCACGAGAAGTCAAAGTACAATTAACAGAGCCTGCTATAATAGATGCCAAGCCCAATGAGCGCGAGCGGGAAGAAGTTTATGGAGCGCAAGACCTACCACCCGCCATAGATATACCCGACTTGCCTTTAGATGAGCTGGTAGTGGACGAACTCGAAAATGCCAACTTGGAACAATAATTTCGATTGCTCTCTTAACTTGCGGGTTAATATATTTACAAAATATTTTAAATTATTTTCAGCAAAAGTTTACCTTAAGCAACACTTATCGAACTACTACATATGTACATACATACATAGCTCATGAAAAAAAAAACAACTTGTAGTGCCTTAGTGAACGGTGTAGGAAAAATGCTCTTCCTGCCTAAAACAGCGCGAAAGATTCCCACACTCATCTACTTATATAAAATTTTATTTAACTCTTTTTTTTCTTGTAACTGTAGCGAAGAACGTCAGCAACTACGCGAAACGAATGAAAAACTTATGGATCGGCTAAAGCAAATATGGGCCAGCTATAAGGAACTGCATATGGAGCGTGAAAAATCAAGAAAACAGCTGAGTTGGACACGTCCAAATGGACGTCAGCGCTCTGCAAGTGATACCGCCGAGTCGGCAGGGGAAGAGCATTTTTCCGCGCGTACTTATAGTTTAGACAAGGTAATTGCTATGGAACATTTGAAATAGACTAATCGTTTGCTTTCTTCTTTTTCTTTTATTTTGCTCTCTCTCTCTCACTCTTCTTCTTTCTCTCTACGTATTTTTCCTTACTTACTCTCCTTAAAACCTGCTCTCATTCCTCTTCTACGTGGAATATGCTTTGCTTCATACAAATGTATCTACTTATGTAGAGTGGAAATATCAAATTTACAATCGAATGTAGAATATTTAAGCAATCGCATGTTGAATAGCGAGCGTATTGGAAGATTAGACAGTACACCAATTTCATACAGTAATCTCGCAAGCAGCAAAGGTAAAGCGCATTGTAATGATTGCGATAAATCAACAACTTTAATACACATGCTTACAAAAATACACACATACAGACACACATTTGAAATGTTTCCGAGCGGATATATTTACTATACTTTATATAATTTGAATTCCTTTAATAAACAAAAAAACAGCCAACTTACGGGGCATTGTAGAGCGTTAACACCAAGTCCCATCTGCTCAGCTTGCAAAGGTTTCAATAGTTGGCATATCTATGTACTTATAATCAGAGAAGGTTGCTCGAGACGCTGTTCAGAGCTACTCTGCGGCTAAGATTTAGGGTGTCTAACGGACTACCTCTATTTCATAGAGAATTCTTGTTAAAAAGAGAGACTTTAACATTAGAGAAACGAGAACGTAGCTACAACTTCGGAGCTCCCCATAGAATAACGGATAAGCTGACACCCTTTGAAGCAACGAAGATATTACAAACAGACTTACAGACTTCAAGTCTACTGCAAGATATGTTCTATGCAAATTTAGAAAACATGAACGAACCTCTCCATCCAAAACTCGAAGTTGCTATAGAAAGTCTGGCTGCCATGAAGGCTCTCAGACTCCCATATATGGACCTAAATATGTCCATCTTTGCTGGGTCGCAGAACAAAGTGGTGTTTTGTTTATAAAAATAAACTACAAGAAAGTGATTCACAAACACAGATACTGAAAAGTTTATGGCGAAGAGCGAACATTTCCATTGCAACTAAGCAGAGTTAGACTTTAGCTTTTTCTTTTTCTCTGTGAAGAAAACAAGTTTTACTTTGCTAAGAGTCCGTACTGAGAGGCCTAATGCATTTTGCTCATAGAAAAGGTTCGAGTTCCGAAATACTTTCCAATATTAATCTCACAAGAGACCTGATTTGCGCGATCGGGTTTTAGGTTTTGTAAATCCTCGAAAAAGGTGCAGTATTTTCCTCCTGTTCCTACTTTTGATATCATTGCATATCAGACTATGCCATCTATCATAGAGCTTACAATGCTTAATTGTCCTTCCATAAGCTAAGCAGGTTCACAGTTCACTTGGACCCGCTCCTAATTCGAGGGTAGAAGATTTGCTATCGATGTAGGCCTGATTGGTGAGCTCCGATATCTCTGCAAATGTCTTTCCCTGGCCAACAATACTACTACCGTAATAGACGATTGACCTTACAGTGTACATCGCTATGGGCTCTACCATCCATTTATTTTTTGCTACAATTAGTGAGTTCCCTGCTAGAGATATAACGCAGACGTAAGGTAATTCTTTGATTTCTTTTGAAGAGCATCAAATTTGTGCATAGATCTGTAGACTGAAACCCCAAACCGCTGCAGTTCCAATATCCAATCCCAATGGTCCAGCCGTCTTTATTTAAAATATTAATTGCCACTAAGCTCTAAAAGTAGATCCAGTTTCCCTGATCCAATAATCGCTTAGTTCTCCGTTCGAATTAAGCGTTCAATCGACGAATATAAATAATAGACACTCCATTGTATACTTAATATTATTGTACTCTAAAATATCCTCTGTTTTACTTTGACACCAAAGAGTGAGTAATTCTAATCGAGCAACGCTCTTCGCACACATCAATCTTTTAGGAAAACACCATCATAAAAACACTTTAACATTGCCGTATCGGTACTTCTCTCCTATCCTTAACTCTTCAATATACACATATGTACATATACATAAGAAAAGATTGGCTTGAATTTTATTAAATGATCCCCTTTACGCAGCCACTCTCGACTACAAGCCGACCACATTTGGTACAGGCGACAGCACACGTACCGCTGTTGATGACTACTCCAAGTCCTCTCCGTACAATTATGACTCCATAC